TATCTCATTGATAGATAATATAGAAATCAGATCTTACTTTAGTTACAGCATAAACTTGTATGTGCTGCACGTGGAAGGCTAGTTTTATAAAAAACAATCTTAATCAAATTTTGAACAATTTTAAAGTTCATAAAGGGCAAATCTCAAGAAAAAGACTAGGTATACGGTATACCTATCTCACTAACTCTGACTTTGACTCACTGTTTCTCTCTGCCCGCTGCATGGCCCGCTAGCCGTCTAGCCGAGCCACCGTGGCGAGGCCCCTGGCCGGCTAGTTGGTGCCCGACAGGACCTACTATTGCCGCCGCCCGCCTAACGCAACCAGCCCAATGCTATGCTGCTGCCTCCCACGTTCCCACCCTAGGCTCGGCCTCGGCGGTCTCCACTCCACCGTCTGCAACTCAGCCCGCCGGCAACCGGCACCTCCGTCCGCCGCCGCTAAGGCTCTAACCCAAGGAGGCTAGAAGCCGGTGCTCGCCCTGCCCGTGACCGATAGAGGAAGGAAAAAAAAGCCAGTCCTATTTCTTTCCCTGATAGGCTGGCTACTGACTGGCTTCTCTACTCTACATGACTACATGTCTAAAAGGGAAGCTGAAACACAAATATTGGCCTAGGAAGGAAGGCCAACTGGGAACTCGTTTTCAACCTACGTCCACCAGCGTCGTTGAGGACTCCAGCACCTCCTACGTATTGTTAATGGCTGAAATTTTTTAAGGTGGGGGGGGGCTCTGCCCTGGTGGTAGATCCATCCCTAGTTTCAACCTCTCTCAAGATTGGTTGAATTATTTGGTTTTTTTTACTGCATATGGACTCTCTAAAATAAATATATAATCCTTTAAAACAATCGTGATATCTCATTGATAGATAATATGGAAATCAGATCTTACTTTAGTTACAGCATAAACATGTATGTGCTGCACGTGGAAGGCTAGTTTTATAAAAAACAATCTTAATCAAATTTTGAACAATTATAAAGTTCATAAAGGGCAAATCTCAAGAAAAAGAATAGGTATACGGTATACCTATCTCACTAACTCTGACTTTGACTCACTGTTTCTCTCTGCCTGCTGCATGGCCCGTTAGCCGTCTGGCCGAGCCACCGCGGCGAGGCCCCTGGCCGGCTAGTTGGCGCCCGGCAGCACCTACTATTGCCGCCGCCCGCCTAACGCAACCAGCCCAATGCTGTGGTGCGTGGTGCCGTTTGCTGCTGCCTCCCATGTTCCCACCCTGGGCTCGGCCTCGGCGGTCTCCACTCCACCATCTGCGCCTCGGCCCATCGGCAACCTGGCACCTCCGTCCGCCGCCGCTAAGGCTCTAACCCTAGGAGGCTAGCAGCCGCTGCTCGCCCTGCCCGTGACCGATAGACGAAGGAAAAAAAAGCCAGGCCTATTTCTTTCCCTGATAGGCTGGCTACTGACTGGCTTCTCTACTCTACATGACTACATGTCTAAAAGAGAAGCTGAAACACAAATATTGGCCCAGGAAGGAAGGCCAACTGGGAACTCGTTTTCAACCTACGTCCACCAGCGTCGTTGAGGACTCCAGCACCTCCTACGTATTGTTAATGGCTGAAATTTTTTAAGGGGGGGCTCTGCCCTGGTGGTAGATCTGCCCCTAGTTTCAACCTCTCTCAACCTTGGTTGAATTATTTTCTTTTTATTTTGACTGCATATGGACTCTCTAAAATAAATATATAATCCTTTAAAACAATCGTGATATCTCATTGATAGATAATATGGAAATCAGATCTTACTTTAGTTACAGCATAAACATGTATGTGCTGCACGTGGAAGGCTAGTTTTATAAAAAACAATCTTAATCAAATTTTGAACAATTATAAAGTTCATAAAGGGCAAATCTCAAGAAAAAGAATAGGTATACGGTATACCTATCTCACTGACTCTGACTTTGACTCACTATTTCTCTCTGCCTGCTGCATGGCCCGCTATCCGTCTAGCCGAGCCACCGCGGCGAGGCCCCTGGCCGGCTAGTTGGCGCCCGGCAGGACCTACTGTTGCCGCCGCCCGCCTAACGCAACCAGCCAAATGCTGTGGTGCGCGGTGGTGCGGCCGCTGCTGCCTCCCACGTTCCCACCCTGGGCTCGGCCTCGGCGGTCTCCACTCCACCGTCTGCGCCTCGGCCCGCCATCAACCTGCACCTCCGTCCGCCACCGCTAAGACTCTAACCCTAGGAGGCTAGTAGCCGCTGCCCGCCTTGCCCGTGACCAATAGAGGAAGGAAAAAAAAGCCAGTCCTATTTCTTTCCCTGATAGGCTGGCTACTGACTGGCTTCTCTACTCCACATGACTACATGTCTAATAGGGAAGCTGAAACGCAAGTACTGGCCCAGGAAGGAAGGCCAACTGGGAACTCGTTTTCAACCTACGTCCACCAGCGTCGTTGAGGACTCTAGCTCCTCCTTCGTATTGTTAATGGCTGAAATTTTTAGGGGGGGGGCTCTGCCCTGGTGGTAGATCCGCCCCTAGTTACAACCGCTGTCAAGATTGGTTGAATTATTTGCTTTTTTTTTTGACTCTAATGGACTCTCTAAAATAAATATATAATCCTTTAAAACAATCGTGATATCTCATTGATAGATAATATGGTAATCAGATCTTACTTTAGTTACAGCATAAACATGTATGTGCTGCACGTGGAAGGCTAGTTTTATAAAAAACAATCTTAATCAAATTTTGAACAATTATAAAGTTCATAAAGGGCAAATCTCAAGAAAAAGAATAGGTATACGGTATACCTATCTCACAAACTCTGACTTTGACTCATTGTTTCTCTCTGCCTGCTGCATGGCCCGCTAGCCGTCTGGACGAGCCACCGCGGCGAGGCCCCTGGCCGGCTCGTTGGCGCCCGGCAGGACCTACTGTTGCCGCCGCCCGCCTAACGCAACCAGCCCAATGCTGTGGTGCGCGGTGGCGCGGCCGCTGCTGCCTCCCACGTTCCCACCCTGGGCTCGGCCTTGGCGGTCTCCACTCCACCGTCTGCGCCTCGGCCCACCGGCAACCGGCACCTCCGTCCGCCGCCTCTAAGACTCTAACCCTAGGAGGCTAGTAGCCGCTGCTCGCCTTGCCCGTGACCGATAGAGGAAGGAAAAAAAACAAGTCCTATTTCTTTCCCGTGATAGGCTGGCTACTAACTGGCTTTTCTACTCCACATGACTACATGTCTAAAAGGTAAGCTGAAACACAAATACTGGCCCAGGATGGAAGGCCAACTGGGAACTCATTTTCAACCTACGTCCACCAGCGTCGTTGAGGACTCCAGCTCCTCCTTCGTATTGTTAATGGCCGAAATTTTTAGGGGGGGGGGGCTCCCCTGGTGGCAAATCCGCCCCTAGTTACAACCTCTCTCAACATTGGTTGAATTATTTGCTTTTTATATTGACTGCATATGGACTCTCTAAAATAATTATATAATCTTTTAAAACAATCGTAATATCTGATTGATAGATAATATAGAAATCAGATCTTACTTTAGTAACAGCATAAACATGTGTGTGCTGCATGTGGAAGGCTAGTTTTATAAAAAAACAATCTTAATCAAATTTTGAACAATTATAAAGTTCATAAAAGGCAAATCTCAAGAAAAAGAATAGGTATACGGTATACCTATCTCACTAACTCTGACTTTGACTCACTATTTCTCTCTGCCTGGTGCATGGCCCGCTAGCCGTCTGGCCGAGACACCGTGCCGAGGACCTACTGTTGCCGCCGCCCGCCTAACGCCACCAGCCCAATGCTGCGGTGCGCGGTGGCGCGGCCACTGCTGCCTCCCACGTTCCCACCCTGCGCTCGGCCTCGGCGGTCTCCACTCCACCGTCCGTACCTCGGCCCGCCGGCAACCGGCACCTCCGTCCGCCACCGCTAAGGCTCTAACCCTAGGAGGCTAGCAGCCGCTGGTCACCCTACCCGTGACCGATAGAGGAAGGAAAAAAAGCCAGTCCTATTTCTTTCCATGATAGGCTGGCTATTGACTGGCTTCTCTACTCTACATGACTGCATGTCTAAATGGGAAGCTGAAACACACATACTGGCCCAGGAAGGAAGGCCAACTGGGAACTCGTTTTCAACCTACGTCCACCAGCGTCGTTGAGGACTCCAGCTCCTCCTTCCTATTGTTAATGGATGAAACTTTCAGGGGTTGGGGGCTGGGGGCTCTGCCTTGGTGGTAGATCCGCCCTAGTTACAACCTCTCTCAACATTGGTTGAATTATTTGCTTAACATTGGTTGAATTATTTGCTTTTTATATTGACTGCATATGGGCTCTCTAAAATAAATTTATAATCTTTTAAAACAATCGTGATATCTTATTGATAGATAATATAGAAATCAGATCTTACTTTAGTTACAGCATAAACATGTATGTGCTGCACGTGGAAGGCTAGTTTTATAAAAAACAATCCTTTACAGAGAAAAACTTCGTTGATATCGGCGTTTCGTTGTTTGGTTCTAAAAGTTCAATGGTCGAACATATCCGCTTTGTAGTCGATACTCCCTCCATCCCAAATTATAAGTCTTTCTAATTTTCTTGGAGAATCAAAACATATCAAGTTTGACCAAATTTATATAATAAAATAATAGCATTTATGATTCTAACTAAATATCATTAGATTTTTTATCGAGTATACTTTCATAGTATACCTATTTGATGTCATAAAATTTTATAATTTTTTCCATAATTTTGGTCAAACTTGAGATGCTTCAAGAAAGTTAAATGTCTTCTAATTTTGAACCGAGGAAGTGGGTGACAAAAATCAAACAAGGGAAGTATATAGTTGGATGGCAAAGATTTAAGTTTTGTCCGCGGAGCAGGAAGTTTTTATGAGACAAAAGCCCATAATATTGTTGGGTGCGCTGGTTCTCCCCACTATAAGGTCCACACAAATCTATTGCCCCACACATACCACATTTGAATGAGGTACTTCCAACAAACAACTCATCATCGTTTTTCACATTGCTGTTGAAAGGGCCGTTCCCCGTTATGGGCTAGCCAAGCTCTCCAACCAGACCTGTTCTCCTGTTGTCCATGATCCTCAGCCGCCCGTGCCCAAAGCTTACCTCCCGGAACAGCGACAGGTGCGCCAGCTTATGGTCACTCATGAATCTTCAGAACACAAGGAATTTAACTGTTAGTAGCGTTCATCAACGCGACTCGCATGCATTAAGTCTGAGAGGAAATCATGTGGTCTGAATGATACTTATGAGCTTTGTTGTTGCCTGCGTCACCAATGGTGATGTACATCGGGCCCTGGCTGTTGGCCTTGTTGTCATAAATCCTCTCCTGCGACGAGTAACAACACAAATGACGATCGAAAGAGCTCTCAAATGAAATGATACTAGCTAAATGTAATGTACTCACAAAGCGCTCATAGGCATGGGTGTGAGAGGCGAAGACGACATCCACACGCGCCTCGTAGAGCAGGCTCTCCATGGCCCTGCGCATGCTCTCGGCCTCGCCCTGGTGCGCCCAGTTAGTGTTGTACCACGGCACGTGCATGAGCACCAGCAGCCACGGCGTCCTGCGCCGGTCCACCGCCGCAAGGTCCCTCCGCAGCCACGCGTGCTGCTGCTGCTCCGACCCTTCCGCCTCGAGCTCGGCGTAGGAGCCCAGCATGACGACGTGCACCTTGCCGCCCGACGCATCGAGCTCTCCTCGTGCGGCATGCGCCACCGCGCGTCGTACGCCACGAAGCGCCGCGCCGGCCTGTCGGGCTCGCGCAGCGTCTCCTTCTCGTGGTTCCCTTCCGTCACCATCCACGGCCGCGCGCTCGCCAGCGGCTGCACCAGCCGCCCCCACGAGTCCCACAGCGGCTGCTGGCCGTCCGCGTACGAGAGGTCTCCCGGAAGCAGCACCATGTCGTGGTCGTGGTCCGCGCCCGCGGCGCCGATTTGGGACAGCGTCGACGCCGTCCACTCCGTCTGCCCCACGTCACCGATGACAACGAACTCGATGGGCAGAGTGGCCGGAGGTGCCCTGCCGCCGCACCGGTAGTATAGTAAGTCGTGCCCGGCTCTAGCGGGCCGATGGTGACGTGGTGTATGGCGCCCGATGTGTATGACAAGAACTGGTACGAGGTCTGGTAGCCCGTCTCGGACGCAGCAGTGTACTCGCCCGGAGATGTTCCGTACTCAACCACGGACGGTGCGCTACGGTCGTCGGTGACCCAAGTAATTCGCATGCCGTGTGCCCCCACAGCCGAAATGTGCACCTGTGTTGGAGAGAGAAAAGACGACAACTTATACTGCATGTCTGCATCTTTGGGCCGGGGCAGCTAGCGTACTATGCACTGGCTGCAGCATGTTAATCGAGGCCACCTGTTGAGGATGGGATGCCGGCTTGTCATGCGCCGTGAGCACCAGCGGCCGTTGCGGCGACCGGACATACTCATCGTCATGGACATGGACGGACGGCATCATCTGGGACTCAGGTCCTGAGCAATGCAAAAGCAGTGCCTCAAAGTTGTTGTTGCTCGTGTAGAAGGAGCGCCGGAGGTTCGTAAATGACCGGGCGACCACCATCTTATAATACACTGATGACTTGGAAGATACGGAATCAGCACTTGGGACAGGGCTCCTTCGTTGTTCGTTCTTGTAATAATATTGTAAGGAGACTGGTTTGAGCCGGTTCCGTGGTAACCAAGGCGACACGAGATGAGTAGAAGAGACAGATGAATGCGCGTCTTAGGAAGTCAAAGTTTAGTGGCAGATGCGTGTATATGGGTTTGGAACTTTGGATGATGGAAAGGCAGGCACAGACATAAACAACGAAGCTGTATTTTGTGTAAAGTGACTATTTTTTTTCAGCAGTAAACAATACTAATTTCTGTTGATCTTCCTAGCTCCCACACTTGTCCATTCAACCATATGCATGTTCAGTCCAGTCGTCAAGGAAAACAAAAATAAAATCGGCGTTGTGGCCGCAGGTCATTCTTAAACATGGAAAGGCGGCTAACAAATGACCAAAAAAAATTTCATAGCAAAGTTAGTCACTATATAACATGTATGGCACCTGTGTGAATAAGAGAATCTTACTATTACTAATTAGAGGTCCCAATGGAAGCACCACGTTAATTCTCACCAGACGTGCTAAAAAAGACAAATCCAAGGAATTCTCACAATAATCAGAAACATCTGCCTTTGATTTGGTAGTCTTTAATCATCATAACCGATAATAGCCATTGCATCTATTGTAGTTTATTAAAAATTACCCACCACTGCCATTATGAAAAATACATAAAGTAACCCCCTAATTTTGCATGTAAATTACCCACATTTGCCATTACAAAAGATAATTCAAAATAACCCCCTATATTTATATATAAATTATCCACATCTGTCATTATAAAAAATAATTTAAAATAACCCTCTAAATTTGTATCTAAACTACCCACCTCGCCTATTATGAAACATACATTGCTCTAAACTATCCAACTTTGTCATTATGAAAGATCTAAAATAATCCTCTTTGTTTCTAAATTACTCATATGTACCATTATAAAAGATAATTTAAAATACCTCCTATGATTTTATAAATTATCCACCTTTATCATTATGAAATATAATGCAAAGTAATATTCTAAGTTTGCATTTAACCTATCCATATATGTTAGCGTGAAAGATAATATAATGTATTACCTTTATATTTGTATGTACCTTAGCCATTATAAAAATAAACAAAAAATCTCTGAAATATACAGGTAAATAGTAATATTTATTAGTACAAAAAATAAATCAATATCCATAAAGTACGATACATATATATTTCTAAATTACATATAATTCTATAATCGTGAAATAAAATAAATATAATTCTATGTTCCATCATGTATATCAAATAAACATGTATATATTAGGATAAATATGTATTTTAACAACTTATGAAACATGGAAAAATGTTCACTTAACAAACCACGTAGCAAAGACACTTTGTATTAAAACTCTATGATAATAAATTTCATTAGTTATTATTTTAAATAAGTTTATACTTTTTTACTAAAACATTACATCATATCAATATTATTTATTTAATTTTATACCACTCATATATAATCCTGTGATTTAACAAATTTAACATGCATGTTTGCTATCGTGATGCGAACCGGACTTCAACTTATGTGGAAAACAATATTAGTAGGAATTGTTTACTATAACATGTGAAAAATTGCAACAACTTGATTAAAAGTTAAAAGATAAACTATAGATCTACGAAGGAACAAAAAGTGATGCATCAAAAGTTTATATATCTTAAGACTAGATTTCAACTAAATACATATCACACTAGAAAAAAAAAAGATAAATACTAGAAATTCTAACTAGAGGTCCCCACTGGAGCTTGCATGTTAATCCTCAAAAGACTTGATAAGAAAGCAAAAGATAGATCCTAGAAATTCTCATAAAAATTAGAAACATTTTACCATCAATTAGGTATAATAACCTAATCGCCATTGATAATAATACTAGCTATTGGGTCTATTCTATTTTCTAAATACTTATCCAATTCGGTAATTGTGTAAAATAATATAAACTAACTTCTATTATTGTGTAAAACAATATAAACTAACTCATGATTCTAATTATATTAACGACATATGTCATTAAGGAACATGATCTAAAGTAGACCTAAATTTGTATTTAATTACCAACGTCCTCTTATTATGATAGATAATTTACATAACTCAATTTTTATCTCATTATTAGAAAAATTAAATACCCCTCAAATATCTACATCTTCATTATCAACATCTCCTATTACAAAAAAATGTTTAGATAATAAATAGAGCATAAATATGTCTCTACAATACGGTCGTGCCAACATGCATGAGTAATAAAATACATATGGTGCATGCAAATAATGGCTTATGCTATTATAGTACTTAAGAACATACACTATGACCTAAAATCTTTATTCTTAAAAAGTGCAAAAGGGAGAGTTAATTAAAGATACAATAAGCACAAGAGTTTCAACTTAATTAACTTGAGGAGAGAGAAAAATACATAGAAGTCGATAAGAATAAAATTAAAAAAAACAAAATTTAGATTTATGACTTCATAGATATACATGATGCAAGCCACCATGATTAATGGTAAGGTGTCAAAGTAATTGCATATTAAAAATATATAGAGGTGCCATGTGAAGGGAAAATATGAATATGTCTAAAAAATATATGTATTAGTTCCTTGAAGAATAGTAATTAATAATTTTATGATAACTTGATATAGACTACGAAGTATCTATTATGTCTTTTATGTTAGAAAACAAACAGAGAAAAAAATATGATTTAACATAAGTAATTCTTTATTAGATAGATGTACATGTACTCCTCCATTCCAAATTATAAGACGTTTTGAGTTTTTAAATACATAGCTTTTGCTATACACATAGATGTACTGTCTAGATACATATATAGTAAAAACAATATATCCAAAAAAGTCAAAATGTCTTATAATTTGGAATAAAAGATTATTAAACAATACCAAATACTTATATCTCCAAAAATTCTAGCCCGTGCGAGAGCACGGGATGATGGACTAGTGTATCTTAATATGACTGATTGGAAATCCCCAGCGCAGCCTTTATATTAATCCATATAAAATCTCATAAAAATTAGAAACATGTAGCCATTGCGAATTATCCATCTTTGCTATCATAAAAAGTTGCATAAAGTAACCCATTGCGATCTATTTTGTATTCTAACAGAGTATTGTCCCTCTCTGCCAATGTGAAAAATGCATAAGGTAACCCCCTCACCCTACTACAGATTGAGCGATCACTATAACATGTTGGATGGAGGGCCCAGGAGGGGGCCCGGCCCATCCAGGGTGGCCACAAGGTGGCCAACTGCACCACCAAGGAGGGGGCGCGCGCTCAACAAGGGCGCCCTCCTACCGCGCCACCAACACCTGTGTCCAGAGGAATCCAAATGAAGGAAAGGAGAGAAATAAAATAGGAATAGATTAGATAGATTTAGAGGAGTCAAAATCTATAAGGACTCTCCTCATTAGATTACTTAAGATGCAAGTCTACTTGGGACTATAAATATATAGGCATTGCAATCATTGGAGATCAAGAAAGAATAGCCTCAGGCTTATCCCTTCCCTTCCCTTCTCCCTGAGCCTCTCTCCCTCTACCTACCGCTGGCCCTCACCCCCTGCTGATGCCCCAGCCCCCCTTCCCAAACCTAGCCGCCACCACCAGGGGACCCCCCCTCCCAAGTGATGTGTTACACCTGGTATCCGGAGACTGAACGATCCACGTGCAACAGCTGATCTAGAACCTCGCCAACGACCTCTGCAAGAACTTTGAGGAGAAGCATCACCAACTCGTCCACCTGGACACGTGTCTGCATGCCATCGAGCAGGCAGGCATCCATGGCAACACCGCCATCACTGGCATTCAAGCTAGATTGGATCAGGAAGCCGCCATCGACAACCTTGTAGCAGAGACCAAGAAAGTCATGATTGCCGCCGGCAAATCCTACCCCAAGCACAAGAAAGACGAACCCCAATCCTCCAACGCTCCGAAGATCATCTTCGAGGTGTCGAACATCCTGTTCACGGCACCACCAACACCGCAACCCCCGCTGTCGCCATGCTTCCTCCCACTCGCCGACCACGTGGCTATCCCACCGACCCCGACCGCCCGCCAACCTCCTTAGTCGGTGACTTGGCCTCTGGCATAGCAGGTGCCTGCACCAGAAAAGACACTACCTCTAACCCTGTCAGCAACGCCAGCACCACATCAACGTCAGCAACCCATCACGGCTCGGCTGACAACCCATACGCATGATGGCTCCACAGATCCACTGCCGTGGCTCTCATGACTGCAACTCCTCTTCAAGTTGCACCACATGCCTGAGGACCAGCAAGTTATGTACGCCACTTTTCATCTAATAGGTACAGCACAACTCTGGTACATCCACATGACGAAGGATGCACCAATGTCCGAGTATGAGCTCTTCAACTGAAACCTCGTCCATGACTTCAGCCCACCCACCTGCCAGGACACGATCGATGACCTCGCACCTCCCTGGCACACTGGCACCTTGAACGACTACATTGACAGTTTCACCGCCTACGTCCTACATGTCGGCATCGCCAGCGAGCTTCATCAAGTGAACCTCTTCATCGTCAGCATGCAAGATGCACTTTGGGCGATGATCATCCAGCATCACCCGCGGGACATACAGACAGCCATCGACCTCACACGCCTACAAGAGCACACTGCACCGACCTCCGTCGACACCACACCTTCCACCATTGACACCATGCAAGCCACCCTCGACTTTAATTTCTCCTCTGACCATGCGGCAGAGCCCGAAGCTAAAAACCCATCTGGCAACATGGAGGGTGACTCGACACTACCCCCAATGGCAATGGCTCCAACCCCCCAGAACACCCCAGCAATGATGCTCCTTCCATGGACCGGCTACAACATTAGAGCAGCCACGCACCCCCATAAAATGGAGCCAAACTTGACACCACCTCCTACGGCGACTACGACACACCACCACACCCTGACG